GATTCGCTTCTCAGTTCAAAATTCCATCCATCCTCTTTCTATACCTTCCTTCCTTCCTCCTTCCTTCCTTCCCTCCCTCCTTACTTACTTTATTCCATCCTTCCTTCGTTCTTTCCTTCCTTCCTTCCTTCCTTCCTTCCTTCTTTCTTTATTCCTTCTTTCTTTCTTTTTTCTTTGTCCATCCATCCCTCATTCCTTCCCTTTTCTTCTCTCGCTCGTCAACATGCTTGCTTTAACTTGCGAAACTCAAAACTGCTCCGTTCACGCATCCTACATAATCCCAGATATCTTGCATATCTTTATTACATCGGGACTTTGTCATATTAAAGTACTGGAGTTTCGTTTATTATTACTTTCAACTTTATGCCCTTATAGTTCAAGTTTTTTGAGGATTTTACGGTATAAGTGGTTAATATTTCATTTGTGGCAATCTCCGTACTGCGATAAATAGCAATGGCATTCATATATTACTTTCCCGAGACATTTGCTATACCAGATAACCTTTCCATAAATAAAACAACATACACCTACTTGCAAGAACGTTGTCATACGAAAATAGAACATTAGTGATTTAGTGGGATAGGAATTATATTAAAAAACAAAAAGATCACTGAAGCTGAAATTTTTCTTTTGTCTTTTAATGTACTCCTTTCTCGCTAAATTACTAATGTTCTAATATCGTATGTCAACGTTCTTGCAAGCAAGTGTAGGTTAACATGAGGAAAAATGCTTTGCTATGAATTATTTTTCTTTTTTCTTTCTTTCTTTCTTTTTTTTAATATCCTAAACTTCGGCTGGGAAAGAAAACCTCAAAGAAACAGAAAAAGCCAATTCCTCAAGCCAAAGCGTTCCACTCTTATGTTGGGACTGTTGAATTTATCACTAAACTCAAAATAAAAATGTTGCATAAGCGTCTTCTGATCTTTTCAATTTTGTACAACAGTATCATAATATCAAGAAAAATTGACTTCTTTGATTTCAAAATGATAGAAAACCTATGTATAAAAAATGGGATAACTGAAATCTTACTCAACATTACACTTTCTGAGGAATTACATTTTTTTGGCAGAAAGTAGAGAAACCGCCACAAAAATCGATGGTGGTTCAAAACTAACTTTTCGTACGAAGCAATGTTGCTCAAGTTGCCGCTAATGATCGAATTAAAAATTCACTCTATCTGTAAAAATCAATATAGCACGACGCATTATTTATGAGGGAAAAAGAACGATTGTATGAATAAATAAAAAGATATTGGGGAAAAAAGTTATAGTTTAGAGGTGAAATGAATGAAGAAAAATCGCAATGAAGTTTACGATGCAATGTGCTGATATTTCTCAACTTCTTGTATGTTGGACTCCACGGGTTTCCTTTATTAACAGATAATGGTTAATCTAAAATGACACTAACATTTAAGTTAAAATTGGCAGTGCTGAATTGAACAAGACTTATCGGATTCTACCAATTAATAATTTATTGGTTTTGTACGATTTGTTCAGGAAAAAAAGGATAAAACGATCGCCAATACAAATGTTAAAATAGAAAACTGATAAAATAGAAAAATTACGCATGAAAATACTGAAAAAAACTAATAACATTATGGATTTTAATCTTAGATGATTATAGAGGCAAAGACAATAAAAGACAGAATAACACAGCCTTATTAATGAATAAACAGTCAACTGACGAAGCGGTATTGTCAAGGCCATGTTGTCATATCTCCTTAAATCGAATTTTGGACTTTCGATTCAAGACTAGCCCAGGTTCATTTATATAATGCAATAATTAGATAATTTCTTAAAATTGGGGGTCATTCCCCTCGGAATTCCAAGTGTAGGAATGCAAAGTATGTAGTTCAAACGCATCAATAAAAGACTTACCAAGTGTTTTAGGTACCATATCGCCATAACCGACTGTAGTCATCGTGATAATCGACCACCAAAATGAATGGGGTATACTTCGGAACTCCGTCGGAGAGCTCCCGAATTCAGCATAATAAACAGCACTAGAAAATAAAATAACCCCAACACAGAGAAAGAAGAACAACAGTCCTAATTCTCGTAGACTTGCCTTGAGTGTGTGACCCAAAATTTGAAGACCCCTTGAGTAACGCGAAAGTTTGAAGATTCGAAACACTCTCACGAGCCGAACGCAACGGAGAATCGCTAAGGATGACACACTTGTTGGCTCTTTCATAGGTAGTGTTACAAAAAAAGGCAGGATTGCTACCAAGTCAATTATATTAAGGACAGACACCAGAAATTTGCATTTACTTGGCGAACACAACAAGCGAACGGTGTATTCAAGCGTGAACCAAGCAATACAAAATGCTTCAATCACAAAAAATGCAGAATTCTGTTTTTCCCTTGGCACCGGTTCCTCATATCCCAAAGTCGAGTTATACTTTCTTTGAGGTTTTGGCTGAAATTGGGGCAGAGTTTCGACACAGAACAGAACAATAGAAAGAACAATTACAGTAACTGAAAATATCGCCATCGCTCGAGCCCAATTTGACGTATCTGGGTGCTCAAATATAGACCAAATTTTTCTCTGGAACTTATTCTTTGGCATAGGACGAGCCTCGGGAGTGAAAGCAACGTCTAAGTCGTCTCCAGCTTGACTTAAGGCATCTTCACCCAAGTCAAAAAACTTCAAGTCACTGACAAACACCTTTCTTGGGATGTTTGTGGGTCGTATGAGCACTCCACAAGTTTGATAGTAAGCCAATATGGACTCAAAGCAAATCCGATTCTTGTCGAAAAAGTATTCTTTTCTCTCGTGGTCGTAAAACTTTTCTCTCCTCTGTGGATTGCCAAGCAGAGACTCTGGGAATCTTTCGAGTGTTCGGTCATATGTCTCATAACGGAGTCCAGAAATATTGATAATAACGCGATTCCCTAGATTTGGATTCCTAAAGCTGGGAGCCTTTTTGATTTGACTCTTGGAATTAGATTCTTGGTTTGAAGGAATTTCCTCGTTTTCTTTCGTCATCTCATAAATCTTTCACCCTTAGTAACGACGTCCTATTCTCTCCATTCAGTACACAGAAGCTACAAGGATCTTCAAGATGGCCATTGCGTGCCGCAATCTAAGGGATCGCGTATATATAGTCTTATTGTCCAAGGTGATGATGAACTAGTAATTAAACCAAATAATTGTTGTCGCTTTGCTTTGTAGCCTCGGCTATTAGGACCAGTTTCACAAGTTGACTTCAAGCAGCAAATCAGCAAATCCAAGATCTTGGGGGCGAAATTTGATGCCGTTAAAGAGAGGTTACTCGAGGTTGCCTTCCTCGCGATAAACAGCTCATTTGAAGCGCTTACTCTTTTATGGCATGACTCTGATGGCATGCAAAGTCAAAACAATAAACGCTCGTGATTCAGTGAATTTCATCTAAGTCAAGAACATCAAAAGCTAGGCTTAAAACTAACCTAATGTTTTTCCTATACTATGGGACCCAAGAACTCTGGTAATTGATTTTCTGAGCATCAGCGAGGAATCTGATCACGATTCGCAAATATTGGCCGATAGCTTTAATACAGTGTTGTTTTTTTTTTACGAAATAGTCAGAATACCGTAACACTCGGCTCCCCCAATTGGCTGGTAACGGTTCGCCGATTCACACGCGGACGGTCTGTTTTTACTTCGACTACTAAAAATAAACAAATTGGGTTTATATAAGTATGACAAGTTTGGGATTGGTTTAGCGCCAGTAATATGTTTGTATTTGCTTGATATTTTTAACGTTTTCATCGTAATTCATGGAGCAGTTTTCAGTACAGCATCTTGAGTGGTCATTCATCAGTGTTGCATCATCTTTTGTACAGTACTGACATAGGGGGCTTGATGCATATTAAAAAATGCTACTACTTTAGCCGTTATTCACCAACATAAAATAGGTTCAAATACATTTGAATTCAATTTGGCTCAAATTTATATATTTACGAACTCTTAATTCATTGTAATGACGTACGTGTAGGAAGAACGCGCAAAGGACAAAGAGGAGCCAGTCAGCTTTGGTTGTGATAACGGCCTACTCGCAGTTGAATCGACGCTTGACTGTTTACCCCCACAGACATTATCTAACGGCATAACATACTTATATTATTAACAAGCTACATCGTTCTATCTTCAAGTCCAGAATATTCAAAGGCAAGTGAACCACGGATTCTTGTATGGAGTGGGATGGAGAAAAATTTCACTTTAAACAGATGATCGAATCGGAAAAAAATGATCAATTTGGCTAGGACGTTTTAGACGCTTCAATGCTCAATCACCGCATGCATGCTCAAGCTGTGAGTTTATATTAATTATTAAAAAGAAATAAAGCTCTTTTATTCTTTTTTGTTTTGTTTTTGTTTTGTTTGGCGTTGTTTTAGGCATGGTATTGAGATCTAGAAACCACGTAGCGACTAAATTATCAACATGATGATGCTCTCCGATAAATAACAAGGTAGATAACATGGGGAGACACGATTGGTTTAGATTGATGAAGGAACTGATTTAAATCAATGCTGATAGTCTCTCTTGCGTAATAAACTTTGAATAAAATTTAAAATGAAAATTAGCAAAAATTAACGTTTCAAATTCGAAGTCGACATAACGTAATGTTTCAAATACGAGTTGCTGTAGTCTATTGGGGTTTCAAAATCCGAGTGGAATTTCAAATGCCGAGACGTACCCGAAAAGTCGGTCGAGTAGTAAGACTTTGAAATATTTCAAAGTACTAGAACTTTGAAATGGGTGCGGTCGTGTTTGATGGGGGTTTCAAACTACTGCACGTGGTACAAATAAGAAACCCTGGTTGGTCGATGAGCGCATGAATAATTAATGAGTATAAGATTTCATCTTCAGCATAAAAAAATCTCATTGGAAGAGGCAGACTAGGGGGTAACGAGTCGTGAAAGGACCGCGCGCCGAACTCCATCGCGGTGTCACACGCGGCTGCAGAGTGCGCGCGACCAATTTTCTAACTTGATCTACGAATTACCCCGTCTATCTTTTGCTTTGTAGCAAAGAAATTGAATATGGTGCTTACGCTTGTTAAAGATCAAAAATCACGTGACTTTTTGGAATTGACTGGGGGACAAACAAGCGGTTGACCGAGTAGTTAGAGAGGCAACTAAGCGGATGTTTAAACTTCCGGTAATAACTATTGTATTTGACTATTTCTACGAAATGAAACCAAAAAAAAGAGAGATCAAAACAACCTCCAAGATTCTACAAGCATGTAAAACGCAGCTATTACCGGAAGTGACGTCTATCGATATTGATCAAACTTGCTACAATTATGGATTGAATTTCGTTCTTTTAATCAGTTTACACTATCTTACAAGAAAAAATATCAGTAATTACCTATCTATAAAATTTCACTATCCGCATAAACCTTATTTACATGCAATTTTCTAAGCTTATACGATTACCATTTCCAATGTCTCTTGTCTAGTTATGTGGAGCCTATTACGAGAAATATCTCCCCATTTAAGTCTGAAGGCCAAGATCATTCAGGGACAACTCCATGGATTTTTTAAGGCGAACTATTGCATTCAACTTTAGGTGGAGTATACAGCTATTTCGAAAATCCATTTCCAACGTCTCTTATCTAGTTTATATGGAGCCTATTACAGAGAATATCTCCCCATGTAAGTCTGAAGGCCAAGAGTCATTCAGGGACAACTCCAGGGATTTCTAAGGCGAACTCTTGCATTCAACTTTGCGTGGAGTATACAGCTATTTCGAAAAAGGTGAAGGTTTGTTATATGTTGCTTACCAAGCTTAAAATGTATTATATTCATATGTAAATAATGTTAACACAGAAGAAATTATGCCAGTAAAAAGTGCATACAAAGTTTAGAAAAAAAATCATATTGTTGTGACTATTCGCTGATCACACATCGCCCATAGGACTGTTCGGGCTTGGTATGAACATTCAAAAAAACCTTCACCAACCTTTTTCAAATAGCTGTATACTCCAAAAGTTCTTTTTATAGAATCACTATGATTTCCTTGTTAAACAAGTGGGTAGCTCACAGCTGTAATTGGAATTCAAGGTGTTGGATTTTTCGGAGAGAAGAAAACCGGAGAACCTGAAGAAAACCCCTTGAATCAAGAAAAAGACCCACCGATCTCTGCCCATTTAAGTCTGGTTCACACTAGCGTCGAAAGCATCGTAATCCTAGTCGTAATCTTAAGAAGCTTACGATCTAGTGTAAATGAATGCGACGCAAGCCGAATCGTAAGCCTCGCCTCCTTGTTATTTTCCTGCCAGCTTCAGGTCAATCCTTACGATTACGATTACGTTTTCTTGGTCCACACTCGAACGTGAGGTGAGCGTAATCGTAGTCGTAAGGAAACAAAACCTTCTGATCTTAGCTTATGATTACGCTGTTACGATACACCTTACGACGGCTCTCAAGACTACGATTTTTGATTCCAACTGGGTTTTAACGCTGCTTACGATTGCAATTAGGATTAGGATTACGATTACGACGGTAGTGTGAACAAGGCTTTATTTGAAAAATGGAAACTTCTCACCAACCGCTATTAAACTACGTCTAGAGTAATCGCTGGTTTTCCAAGCCGCCATGTTGGGCAAAAAAAAGTATTTTGGTAGCGTTTTCGCATGATTCTAGAGAGTCCACTCAATAACGCGAGCAGTGCATTTTGACTGGAGATGAATTTGATTGGCTATCTACGTAAGGACCGAACAGAAAACTGATTTTTGTATTAAAACAGTTCTGCCAAAACCAAGTTTTACGTTCGCATTGGAGAGAATTTAGCAACGTTTTACCGATTTTGGTGCATAACTTGATTATAATTTCAATCTATAAATTTCGATAAAATAAAGCAAAAAGACATTTTTCAAGATTATCTGATGTGCGAGGCTAGAATGATGATCTAACCTATGGAACAAGAGTCAACAGTCTCTTGATACAAAAGGAATGTTATGCAATATAAGTAAATGAATGTAAAAAAAAATAGACTCATACTTTTAAGTATGATACTTGAAAATATTAGTCTATTATTACACAGAGAATCGAAAAACCGTGGGCACTTAGAAACATTCCAGGCATTTTCTATTGTTCTTTGGCCAATCAAAATTGACTTTCTAACCACAAGATAACGGAAAGATAACAATATCGCTTCTGATTGGTTAAGAAACATTCTTGAAATATTTCTAGGTGCCCATGGTTTTTCGATTTGCACTGTAAGCATTATTAAGAAGAAATAAGAAAGAGTTATTAGACAAGGAATTGTCATTCACTCGAATTTCGTTCAAAGTTTAGACCGATTGCTTTTTTCCCATTGAGTTTCAAGGCACGTGTCAGACCCCTAAACACGATTCGTGGGGATGACACGTGGAATGGTCGGAATTGGGAAAACAATACGCATAAAGACGTAGACCTAAAAGTGTGATTTCTTTTGTATCTTCCTGTTTCCTGCCTCTATTTCAAAATAATTCCGAGTTGTCTATTTGCGAAATTAAGAACTAGACATCAAAAAGCGGGCTCCCTCCTGGTCCTGGTATAGGGGTCCCTTTTAGGCTTACAATATACATACACAGACATGCCAAGCCCATAAAAATAGCGACTCCAATCAAAGCTTTAAGTCTTGACTTCAAACTTCTACGGAATCTTGAGGGAGCCATGACGGCCAAAAGTGCCATACAGAACGTTAGGGTATAAAAGATGGATACTGCGGTATTGATGGCAAGGATTTGGCCAAACTTGGAAAACAGTTGGATGGTAGTGAGGCAGAGTGGAATGGACGCTGCTATGGTTGTCATAGCAGAGCTGAGGATGGAGGAACCGATGTGGGAGACTGCCGCTGCTGTTCTCCAGCCACGCAGATCCTAGAAAGTAATTTTAAAAATGTGTGCAAACAATGTACTGTCAAGCCTGCATAACAGCAATTCACTATAGGTGTTTCTATGAATTTCAAAGACAAAAACCTACCTTATTAGACATCCTGGTGTCGGGCAAAAATCGTCCGGATATGATGTACCCATCGACTAGATGTACACAGTAATCTACTGATGTACCAACAAGAATGGATAGCGAGATGGCTTCTATAGCACCTAGATGCCATCCTAGGAGGTAGAAGATGGCTACCACGAAGCATAGAACACCTGAGAAAAAAGGATTATGAAATTATGTAAGACTCATTAATGACACTGATGATGGTGGTGGTGGAGAAGGAGAAGGAGGAGGTGGAGAAGGAGGAGGTGGAAGTGGTGGTGAAGGAGGAGGTGGAGGAGGAGGAGGAGGAAAGGAGAAGGGAAAGAAGGAGGACAAGGACGACGTTTGTCTTCCATGTGCTGTGTTTCTCTTTCCATCCAAATATTCTCACTTTTCATTCTTTTTTCAACTTCCTTCTTTCTTTCTTTCTTTCTTTCTTTCTTTCTTTCTTTCTTTCTTTCTTTCTTTCTT